GAAATACTTGTACATGGAATAGTGTGGTGATATATCATGATAAAGCTTAGATTGTTAACAACACATTTCAGGGAAAACATATTGAGGAAGATAATTAAACTACATGTGCAATGATTAGACCATCATGGTGATATATATCATAATAAAGTTAGATTATGGATAACATCTTTTAGAGACAACATTTTATGGATAAAAAACTACTAATGAGAATGGTGATATATCAGAATAAAGCTAGATTGTTCACATAAAATTAAAAAAGGGTAGATGGTACAATGAAGTTATGACCACATTCTATATTGGACTGGAGGACTGCCTCTATTTAACCAGGATAAACAAAATCTCAACTAGAGTGAAAACTTTAATCAAGGAAGCAGGTATAATCATTTTGGGTTGCGACTTATTTCATGGACCTCAATCCCAACGATGCTTTCATTTTTTTTATGTTTTAATCTGAATAAATGATAAGCCATTCAATATGATGAAATTCTATACTTGTTGGACAGAATGTCAGTACAAATGCACTCACTTTCGGCTCATGCTTTATATGACATTCTGTCTAACTCATGCTGAATTTCACCATTAGTCTATATTGAATGGGCCATCATTATTTGTTCTTTAAACACTAAGCACTGATATCAAGGGCAAACAGGTTCAAAATTTGTCATACTGGGTCTACTTTAACTAAAGGTGCAAGTTCATTTAATAACGCAGATGCGAGTAGGTAGTTACCAGTTTCACCACCAGGTGGCTCGTTCGGGTCAGATAGCATGGCGGGTATAGTAGAAAGTTCCCTTTAACTTAAATTACATCTGTTTTTGTGGTTAAATTTTCATATAACCCTTATGTTTCTAATAGTTATGCAAATCAAAATATGTCCAGTAAATGAAAATGTTATGTGACCAATACACACTGGGGGGTATCGTGATGCAACAACACCGTGTTGTTGCATCAAGATGGCCAGACTTCCGGTGATAGATTTTCGTACGATGTTTTGTTTTCCCAATTTACACCCATTTCTAGGACGAGTTGCTCAATAATCATACACATGCAGTTAGCACATGATCTATATTTTAAAAAACTGTCATTGGTATACATGTAGCATCATCAAGAAGCGATAAATTCGTGGTTTTAATTCCTCACTATTGATGCAACAACACCACTCTGTTTCTTATCGATGATGCAACAACACCAATGTGCTGATGCAAAAACGCCAATATAATGTACGTATCATTGAACAACAAGAGAAACTGTTTTATGTTCTGTTTACAGGTGTAGGTCGGGACATGAATAAAACGCGTGAGTCAGTGGTCCATGAACGAAACGTATTTTGTTTGGTTTCTTTGTCTATATCAAAGTTAAAAGGATATACAAGGCAAACTAAATAAAGTATAGAATCCCCGGGAGGCAATCTCATTGATATTGTATCTGAAAAGTAAAGATTATACATTTTCTAAATTAAATGCCCTTGATTTACCGTATGTAAATTGCTTACAAATAACTAATATAATTTTGGAAAGACAACAGATATCAGTCATTTTGTGTTGTTAGTACCTCAATTGAAATACTCAATTCTGATTGGTTGATGAGCGGGCAACAAAATGTATTGTTAGTACCTTAACTGAAATACTAGTACTCGATTCTGATTGGATGATTAGCGGTCAAAATTATGTACTGTTGACCGCTACTAGGTACTGTTGACCGCTACTTCTGAAAAAAAGTTTCATGACGTCACAAAAAAACATGGAAGACGGACATTTTGTAAATGTTGATGAAAATGACTTTACTAGGCGACAAGTATAGCAAAAATACAAATAGAAACTTAAAATTAACATTAATTCACTAACGAGTACGCCGTGATGTGCCAAATACAGAGTTAAGCTTCTTGCACTGTCTCCATATTTTCTAAAAAAAATATTGCTAACGTGGTTCGGAGAAAAGGTTCGTCGTTCGTCGTCTATATGTGTATTATTAGTTTACTCGGACTAACAAAACAATTGTAGACCTCTCCATTCGATCAACCGTCAAAATCATATACCTCGACTGTAAACCTTGAAACTACTGTTGACCTCGACCTTCGGTCTCTGTCAACAGTATTTTTTCGGTTTACAGTCTCGGTATACAATTTTGCCGGTTGGCCTCTGGGGAGGTCAACAATTGTAAACTGTTGACCACTACTAGGTACTGTTGACCCCTATTTTTGAAAAATTGTTTTTTTTAATGTTGAAATTTTTTTAATTTTGAAAAAATAAGTTGTGTAAAAAATTACAAGTATTCGACGGTTTGGGGATTTTTTGCTAAAATATGATATCTTTACTTATCAAATATGTTCACGTGATATTCGATTATATATTCGTCCAATTATTATATTATTTGGACTAACAGAACAATTGTTAACCTCTCTTTTCGGTCAACTGGCAAAAGTGTCCTCGACATCTGGTCTTGATCAACAGTATTTTCAAGTTTCAAGGTTCACAGTATCGGTATACAGTTTTGCCAGTTGACCTCAAGAGGGGTCTACAATTGTACATTGTATATCCTTTGTTATCCCACCCAAAGTATGATGTCATATATCAAGTTGAAGAGTTGTATACGCTGCTCAGGAGTTTACGCTATCCAGGAGTTGTACATCGTTCTCAAGAGTTGTATAGGATGAGTGTTGGTTTAATGATATTGCAGTTATACAATGCTATTATATAAAAGTTATTTACTGAGAGGGACTCAATATTGGTTTTATTTCGAGAGACAATGTGATATTTCCCGAGGGCCCGGGATATCTGGGATAACTGTACCCCTATCAATTTACCTTTTTGGGCCCTAAATTTTATCACTTTTGTTTACCTTTTTACTCAGTCGGAGAGAAGGAATCCAAAGAGAGCAATAATTCTACATGTGCGTCGTGCAAGATTTCCATTAAACGTGTAACTAAATGGCCTCTCTAATAAAGTCAATTAGACGTTTTTACATGTTGGCTCTCCAAATTGTAGGAAATAAAGAATCATATCATATTATATCTTAGATGAAGCAATCATCCCATCAACATAAGCTCACGAATGTCACAGTTAAACTGTTTTAGTTATAATTTGATAAACAGTGGTAACGTACATCTACTAGTTTATCACTGTTCCACAGATGGATGACAGATAATATCATGATAATATCCAATAGCTCATCATGTTTACCGAGAACGAAAGATGTTTGTCCACCATTTTGAATGATACTAACTGGAGTCAGGGTCATCAAGCTATGGAACAGTGGTTTATGAAAATAGATTGGGTTACTAAAGCATGTCATGTTAAAGGCGATTGAACTATGTTATAGAATAACGTCCAGTACATTATAATATGTAAAAGTATAAATGTTTGAAAATATTGAATGCCTTGAGAAGAACGCAAATATGGGTAGGCTAATTGGTAACGGTATTGCAATAGTAGCATTTAAAAATCTGTTCCTCTCGAGATTTATGGTCTTCTGAAATTATAATATTAATTGGTGTTGCTGCATCATTGCTCAAATCTAGAGGAGTGTTGTTGCATCTTCGGGTTGGTGTTGTTGCATCAATAGTGAGGAACTAAAACCGTGAACTTATTGCTTCTTGGTGATGGTACATGTATACTAATGACAGTTTCTTTAAATATAGATCGTGCGCTAACTGCACGTGTATGGTTATTGAGCAACTCGTCCTAGAAATGGGTTTAATTGGGGAAACAAAATATCGTACGAAAATCTATCACCGGAAGTCTGGCCATCTTGATGCAACAACACGGTGTTGTTGCATCACGATACTCCCCAGTGAATACAAGAAGATATTTCACTTTTTGTGATTTTGTAACATGGGCTCTAATGGAGAATCAACCCGAGCTAGAAGTCACACTTTCAAAAATAATTAAATTTTCAAACTTGATAAATAATCTTCGAAACCATATTTCTAGATGTACTTTTACATGTAGATTTCAAATATAACATATTTTTTCTACTCGCATCTAGTATATTCTTTATTTCACGTAAGTCTTTTTCAACAAGGTATAAGTATATAGTAGTAGGATATAGAGTATGATGGGGAATAGTTTTTATATTTTACTCATTATGTAATTCATTGATAAAGGACATACCTTTAGATCTTGGAGATGTATCCTTAACCTTTAGCAGACCACCGGCGGCCGCGTCTGCCCATTCAAAACTACCGCCAGAATCCACCGGCAGATCCGGACGACACAAATCTAACTTTTGAAAACTTTACTTTTTCCCGCCGTTCTTATGATCCAATTAGATTGCCCGATTTATTCAGTCCTTAGTAAGTGACTTCCTGTTGACCTAGAAATGGCGATGTTTCGAAAAATATTTCTTAATTCAACAATTTAAACAGTGTTTAAGTCGTTTTTAGTGAACAAATCGTACAAAATGACGGCCAAATACGATCACAACGAAAATGTGGAGGAAATGGATTGCGATTTCGAGCTCTTTAGGCTCTTGGAAGCCGATAATGGTCATCGAAAATAGAAACTAGAATATTTTCTGAACTGAAAAGAAGAACATTTGATCGCTGCAAATTCAGTTTTGGATTCTGACCAGACGTTGAATCTCCCGAGGGGCGAAACGGCGGATTCCGGAGGAGTATTCATGGTATATTTATGCCCAGTCGTGTTTATGTACGAAAAAAAATCATGAGAACATTTTTCTCATGAGCCACGCTAGTGTATCTTCCCTTTGTGAAAATTTTATCCAGATTCATTCAGTAGTTATTGAGATATTAATTATTTAGTCCAGGCATATCATTTTTGAAAAATAAGTCAGATGCGTGGGATATATTTGCTGAAATAAGTCAGAGTGCAGAAGGTTAAAATCTTACATCTTATAGACAAAATGTTACATCCTAAGAGTATATTTTGAGGCTTAGAAAAAGTAAAAACTTAAATAATTGTTTGAAAAGAAACATTAATTCAAATTAATTCAGAATCTGTTGTTATTAACTTTTAAATAGTTCCTCTTCTGTATACTTGCAGGTAGTGCCTACTCCTATGAAGATGCTGATACATCCAGTGACTCGGATGATGAGGTGCTACAGCGCTACCAGGCACAGAATGTCAACAAGAAGAGGGGCAGTAAAGGTGTGACTCCCACCACCTCACTTGCCATTAACCAACCTACATGTAACAATCTTTTTCTCTAACATTTCTTCATGGACATTTAGGGACAAGCCAATAGAACTTGATAATGAATGGGTGGACTTCATTTGGACTTTCCTAGTTTGATAGGGGAGAAAGGGACTTAAATATGGTGCAATATTCACAGTCAGTATGAGTAGCATCATAGTTTGATAGGGGAGAAAGGGACTTAAATATGGTGCAGTTTTCACAGTCAGTATGACTAGCATCATAGTTTGATAGAGGAGAAAGGGACTTAAATATGGTGCAGTTCTCACAGTCAGTATGACTAGCATCCTAGTTTGATAGGGGAGAAAGGGACTTAAATATGGTGCAGTATTCACAGTCAGTATGACTAGCATCATAGTTTGATAGGGGAGAAAGGGACTTAAATATGGTGCAGTATTCACAGTCAGTATGACTAGCATCATAGTTTGATAGGGGAGATAGGGACTTAAATATGGTGCAGTTTTCACAGTCAGTATGACTAGCATCATAGTTTGATAGGGGAGAAAGGGACTTAAATATGGTGCAGTTTTCACAGTCAGTATGACTAGCATCATAGTTTGATAGGGGAGAAAGGGACTTAAATATGGTGCAGTATTCACAGTCAGTATGACTAGCATCATAGTTTGATAGGGGAGAAAGGGACTTAAATATGGTGCAGTATTCACAGTCAGTATGACTAGCATCATAGTTTGATAGGGGAGAAAGGGACTTAAATATGGTGCAGTATTCACAGTCAGTATGACTAGCATCATAGTTTGATAGGGGAGAAAGGGACTTAAATATGGTGCAGTTTTCACAGTCAGTATGACTAGCATCATAGTTTGATAGGGAAGAAAGGGACTTAAATATGGTGCAGTTTTCACAGTCAGTATGACTAGCATCATAGTTTGATAGGGGAGAAAGGGACTTAAATATGGTGCAGTATTCACAGTCAGTATGACTAGCATCATAGTTTGATAGGGGAGAAAGGGACTTAAATATGGTGCAGTTTTCATAGTCAGTATGACTAGCATCATAGTTTGATAGAGGAGAAAGGGACTTAAATATGGTGCAGTTTTCACAGTCAGTATGACTAGCATCATAGTTTGATAGGGGAGAAAGGGACTTAAATATGGTGCAGTATTCACAGTCAGTATGACTAGCATCATAGTTTGATAGGGGAGAAAGGGACTTAAATATGGTGCAGTTTTCACAGTCAGTATGACTAGCATCCTAGTTTGATAGGGGAGAAAGGGACTTAAATATGGTGCAGTATTCACAGTCAGTATGACTAGCATCATAGTTTGATAGGGGAGAAAGGGACTTAAATATGGTGCAGTTTTCACAGTCAGTATGACTAGCATCATAGTTTGATAGGGGAGAAAGGGACTTAAATATGGTGCAGTATTCACAGTCAGTATGACTAGCATCATAGTTTGATAGGGGAGAAAGGGACTTAAATATGGTGCAGTATTCACAGTCAGTATGACTAGCATCATAGTTTGATAGGGGAGAAAGGGACTTAAATATGGTGCAGTATTCACAGTCAGTATGACTAGCATCATAGTTTGATAGGGGAGAAAGGGACTTAAATATGGTGCAGTTTTCACAGTCAGTATGACTAGCATCATAGTTTGATAGGGAAGAAAGGGACTTAAATATGGTGCAGTTTTCACAGTCAGTATGACTAGCATCATAGTTTGATAGGGGAAAAAGGGACTTAAATATGGTGCAGTTTTCACAGTCAGTATGACTAGCATCATAGTTTGATAGCTGGTAACATGTTATGGATGTACCACGCCTACCCTGAAGTGTAGTTTGCTTGAGTCTTTCATTATTTTTCAGCAGTTCTTACCTCAAAAAATTCTTACATTTAATTCTTAAGTTCTCCTTAAGTCACAATTGATAACAAACATTTTCAATCTCAAATTGCAGACATGATCATTTTACTTTTGCCAATAGCCCTCTGTCTTAAATAACGACGATGGGGGAGGGGGGTTCGCTAATATTTGTTTAGTGAAAGAAATAAAAATATTACCATAATTAAATCTTAAATATTCAAAAGATCACATTTCAATCTACACTATGTATAAAAATCAAAATTGTTGGTGACAATCATAACCTCGAAATGAGCTGATGAACTTCATTCTCCCAACCGAGTATAGTCCTTTGACAAATTCAACACCAGAGAAATAGTAGGATCTGATTATGCTCATCTGTTTACTTCAGCTTATTACAAAACAAAATTTTTATATTTCCCTCCCCATTCTCTCAAATCTAAATTTCACTTTTCCGAAACGTTCACTCTTTAGACACGAGTCCTTGATTAACACTGCAGGGGTAGAAAGATAAAGTCCTTGGATTTTTTATTCTCAGAAAGTCTATTCTCAGGAAGTACAAGTCTAAATTATTGTCTCATTAAAGGTTTTATTGGTTTCTTTATTTCATCTTTATTATCTTTATCTCACTGGTTGGAAAATGTCATCCTGACATCATTACTCAACCTTCTGACCTACTAATGAAAATATACACAGATTTCTCTGCCTAACATGTCTTCATTCTTCACAATTACATGTACTTTTACAATTTATGTTCATTTCATAAAGTGAGACTGGCTTCATAAGTGCATTATATCAGTGTTGTGCTTAAAATATTTTGGACATTTTGTGACAAATATATCATACCTGACTATTTATATTTATTAGATAGTTTTTAAATGCATTCAAGCTAAAGCATTTTTATAAAACTTATATTCAGGGTCTTATGATGAATACATCTACAACAATCAAGCTTCAAGGATTATCTTTGAATTTTCAAATTTTCATAGTCAGACTGATGACAGAGTGGTTCTGTATTTCAGCTAGCAAGAGCCAAGAAGATGAGAGAGACCTCATATCCCTGGCAGAGAAGGGCCTAGATGCACAAGAGGGCAAGACACCATCAGAGGGTAAAGGTCAGTCACATTGACAACATTAACTGTATGACAACTGTATGTACGAGGGTTGATCATAAAGTTCTCATAATATCTCTCTAATTTCTTTATCTTTCAATAGTTTCTTTTGAACTTTTCACAGAATGTGCAGCATGGAATGTTTTATTAATCCAGCAAAAAATATTTAGAATAACAGAAACATTAAATAAGAAATGGTTGCCATAGTAACTTGAAACTAAGGCACCCAGGGCAAATAAAAAATTAGCTAGAATAGCCCCCATTAACCATGTTTAAATACATAATAAGTTGTCAAATAAGCTATCAAACACATTAAATTGTGAAATACTATGTGCTCTTGACTGTTTTAAACTATTATAATAATCATATGAATTGCATGATCTCATAATGGATGATTGTTATGCTTCATTAGAAGTGACTGTTAGACCCTATAACTGTTTTGTCAAATATCCAAATGGAAATTGATTTTGCCCCTTTAGTTCATTTTTATGAGCTCACATGTTGAGCTTTTGCAATCGCTCACTTGTCCGTCTGTCTGTCTGTCTGTCCGTCCGTCCGTCCGTCCGTCCGTCTGTCTGTCCGGGCAATAACTCAAATACCGTTGGCCCGATTTTGTTCATATTGTGTACACATATACTCTATGGGAGTAGAAGTTCTGCTTGAAAGCCGATTTTCAAAATGGCCGCTCATTTAAAAATGGCGGCCATTTTACTGCCGATTTTACTGTAATTTAGGTGCAATATGTAAAACTGTAATAGCAATATGTTTTAAATGTAAAAAAATTATATAGGACTTTGATAAAGCTAAAAATGTAGATATTAAAGAAGCACATGGCAGCCATCTTGAAAAATGGTGGCATTTACTCGTTATTTTACGATTTTTGCTGTAACTAAAGAAGTAGTGGATCGATTTTGTTCATATTTGGTATGTGAATACTATAAGCATGACTCACTGTCTAATGGCATTTTTGGTAGTTGGCTGCCATTTTGAAAAATGGCCGCCATTTTGAAAAATGGCCACCATTTTAACATATTTTACTATAACTCAAAAAGTAGTGGAGCGATTTTGTTCATATTCGGTATGTAAATACTATAAGCATGGCACACTGTCTAATGACACTTTTGGTAGAAGGCAGCCATTTTGAAAAATGGTCGCCATTTTAACTTATGTATTTATAACTCGAAAAGTAGTGGAGCGATTTTGTTCATATTTAGTATGTGAATACTATAAGCATGGTACCCTGTCTAATGACACTTTTGGTAGAAGGCAGCCATTTTGAAAAATGGGCGCCATTTAAACGTAATTTACTTGGCCTTTACTCGCTTTTTAACGATTTTTGCTGTAACTTGAAAAGTAGTGGAGTGATTTTGTTCATATTCGGTATGTGAATACTATAAGCATGGCACACTGTTTAATGACACTTTTGGTAGAAGGCGGCCATTTTGAAAAATGGCCACCATTTTTGGCTTTGGCTTTTACATGAATTTGAATATATCGTGCTATATTACTTGGACAGTATTTCAATGAAATGAGTTTTGGACTATATTGTCGGCCTCGGGGCTTATGTTTGTCTGTCTGTCTGTCTCTCTGGATGTCAGACAGTTTTCACCAAAACAGCTACAGCTATCACCTTCAGATTTTCATTGATAACTTTTGGGTACATTTACATGCGGATGTGGTTGACTCGATACTTATTTGGATTTTCTGACCTAAAATCTTGTCTGTAGTCCTGTCTACATATTTCCAGGCGCTAGGTGCACCATTTCATGGATCGATTTCAAATTTTCAGGGATAATTTTTCAAATTTTCAGGGATGATTTATTGTATGAAAATCTGGAAGATTTTCCTTTCTAAAATCTTGTCTGTGAAGTCTTGTCTACGACTTTTTCAGGCGAACTATTTTACGGATCAATTTAAATTTTCTCCTCCCTTTTCCCCTCCTACCCCCTTTTCCCTTCCCTCCCCTTTCCCCTCCCCATTTCCATCCCCTTTTCCCTTACACTTTCCTTCCCTTCCCTCCTCTTTCTTTCTCCTCCCCCTGATTGAGACCATTTGATGTTTTTTTCAAATTTTAAGGGATGATTCCTTTTCCCTCCCGTCCCCCTTTCCCTCCCCTTTTCCCTTCCCCTTTCCTTCCCTTCCCTCCCCTTTTCTCTTTCTTTCCCCTCCCCCTGATTGAGACCATTTGATGTTTTTTCAAATTTTCATTTCATTTGAAAATCTGGTACTAAGAAGTTTTTTATCGCACCCTCAGGTGCTATATTGTAATCAGTTTGCCGGGTTGTCTACAGGTTTCCAGCCAAACCGTTTGAGGGATTCATTTGAAATTCTCAGGGATGTTTCTACCTATGAAAGTTTAGAATTGATTAGTTTTTCGGCATTCTGGGTAAATGTTAAGGCGGCCATTTTGGATTTTCCGTCCTAAAATCTTGTCTGTCAAGGCTTGTCTACAAGTTTCCAGCCAAACCATTTAAGGGATTCATTTGAAATTTTCAGGGATGTTTCTACCTATGAAAGTTTAGAACTGATTAGTTTTTCGGCATTCTGGGTAAATGTTAAGGTGGCCATTTTGGATTTCCCATCCTAAAATCTTGTCTGTCAAGGCTTGTCTACAGGTTTCCAGCCAAACCGTTTGAGGGATTCATTTGAAATTCTCAGGGATGTTTCTACCTATAAAAGTTTAGAACTGATTAGTTTTTCGGCATTCTGGGAAAATGTTAAGGTGGCAATTTTGGATTTTCCGTCCTAAAAATCTTGTCTGTGAAGGCTTGTCACTACAGGTTTCCAGCCAAACCGTTTGAGGGATTCATTTGAAATTTTCAGGGATGTTTCTACCTATGAAAGTTTAGAACTGATTAGTTTTTTGGCATTCTGGGTAAATGTTAAGGCGGCCATTTTGGATTTTCCGTCCTAAAATCTTGTCTGTCAAGGCTTGTCTACAGGTTTCCAGCAAAACCGTTTGAGGGATTCATTTGAAATTCTCAGGGATGTTTCTACCTATAAAAGCTTAGAACTGATTAGTTTTTCGGCATTCTGGGAAAATGTTAAGGCGGCCATTTTGGATTTTCCGTCCTAAAAATCTTGTCTGTCAAGGATTGTCTACAGGTTTCCAGCCAAACTGTTTGAGGGATTCATTTGAAATTTTCAGGGATGTTTCAACCTATGAAAGTTTAGAACTGGTTAGTTTTTCGGCATTCTGGGTAAATGTTAAGGCAGCCATTTTGGATTTTCTGTCCTAAAATCTTGTCTGTCAAGGTTGTCTACAGGTTTCCAGCCAAACCGTTTGAGGGATTCATTTGAAATTCTCAGGGATGTTTCTACCTATAAAAGTTTAGAACTGATTAGTTTTTCGGCATTCTGGGTAAATGTTAAGGCGGCCATTTTGGATTTTCCATCCTAAAATCTTGTCTGTCAAGGTTGTCTACAGGTTTCCAGCCAAACCGTTTGAGGGATTCATTTGAAATTTTCAGGGATGTTTCTACCTATAAAAGTTTAGAACTGATTAGTTTTTCGGCTTTCTTGGTAAATGTTAAGGCGGCCATTTTGAATTTTCCATCCCGAAAAGTGTATTCTGTTCAAGGGTGCGATTCTGTTCACCGTGTGGCTTATTTGTCCTTCTAAGTGAATGTTAAGTTAGCCATTTTGGATTTTCTTTTCTAAAATCTTGTCTGTGAAGTCTTGTCCACGACTTTTTCAGGCGAACTATTTTACGGATCAATTTAAATTTTCTCCTCCCTTTTCCCCTCCTATCCCCCTCCTATTCCCTTTCCCTCCCATCCCCTTTTCCTGCCATCCCCCTTTCCCTTCTCCTTTCCTTTCCTTCCATCCCCTTTTCTCTTTTCCCTCCCCCTGATTGAGACCATTTGATGCTTTTTTTTATTAATTTTCAGTGATGATTCCTTTTCCCTCCCCTCCCCTTTCCCTCCCCCTTTCTCTTTCCCTTCCCCTTTCCTTCCCTTCCCTCCCATTTTCTCTTTACCCTCCCCCTGATTGAGACCATTTGATGTTTTTTCAAATTTTCGGGGATGATTCTTTCTATGAAAATCTAACAAATTAGGTTTTTGGCATTCTGGGTAAATGTTAAGGTGGCCATTTTCCTTCAACTGATTGGGGATGGGCATTAAGGATGAAAAATCTGTATAGGATCACATCATCCCACAGTGATTTATGGATCTAATTCTTAAAATTTTTACTTGGCTTTCAGTTTGTAAATTATTTCTATCTAAGGTGGAAGTTATCATTAGAGTTTAATAGACTAGTAGAAAAAGAGGACTGTTTTATTGTGTTATTCACTAGGAAGTGTCTTCATATGAAGTTTATTTAAATTGTTTGTAAGTGATACATGATAATCATTTTCATTTTAGTTACAGTTTGGAATACATTTTTGGAACAAATGAAAGGTACAAAGGCCCATCCCATTTGCTAATAGTATTTAACATGCATTGCCATTGATGTTAGTTAACACTACATGTGATATAGGCTAATAAACATGTACATTGTACTCCCTTTGGGTATAACATAGATTAACCTGTTTTAATATTTTAAGGTAACTCAACTTGCTAAATAGAATTGAATACCACCTCTTAGAAATTGATTTGGTTTACATGACGATTTGGATCAGGGTGTTTTGAAAATGCAAAAATTCTTAGCGTACTCCTAGTTTAAACAACAGTAATTTTCTAAACTTAAATGTAAATATTTTTTCTCTAAAAAATGTTGATTTGTATGATTTGTTGATTTTTTGAAATATAGGGTTATGATTTGCCTAGAAAATAAATTACTGAACTGACTCCAAATAAATGTTCTCTTACTCCAAAACTTGAATTCTGATCTGCCAAATCTAATATTCCATATTTATGAGCAACCGTGTAGTTAATTTGGGTTCTCCACTTATGTTTTTGTTTGATCTATCTAATATGTGCAAATCTTTCTTCATATGTTTCTCAATAACTTGCTTCTACATTCTACATCTTATTTGGACATATAAATATGTATATAACAATTTTACATCATTTGCCAAATCTATTTTTTAGGAAAAATATAATGTCTAGCTTTGTCACATTTTTGTGCTGCAGTTTGTCATGATTAACTTCATATTCTTATCCTAATTAATGGGACAATTAAATACAAATTGAACAGACTTCCATCTTTCCTTGAGTTTCACATATCTTGTGGTTTTATATTATTAGGATATTATTGCACTCATGAGATACCCTTGTTCAAATTTGTGTGGAGAAATATGTTAACAACTACCTCACAAGATGTAATCAGATTTGGATTGGATGGCTTTGTACAAGGTTGTTTTGTAAGCAGATCATTGTGAAAATTATGTTTTTGATATACCATTTATGATTAAAAGAATTGTCATTTCTAAGGACTTGTAGTCTGTTTCATTGACAAGGGTAGGTAGTTGGTCTAGTTGCAGCGTTGGATTCTCTCTGCACTGTACTGCAGACTGTTTAATATGCAACATGTACATTTGTATTCAGAAAATTGCTTGAACTGCTAAAATTAAAATAGAATCTTGGTTTACAATAACTCTGAATCGAACCTCCATATTTAATAGAAGATAAACTCCTAACATGGTATTATAGAGGGAAACTTTAACAATGTGTGTCATGCGAATTAATACATAATATGTGTGTGCCAAGGAATCAATTGAAAGCATCACTGCAATGAATGTTTATAGAAACATTTTTAGGTTCATCATCTTTTATTCAATAATTTGTTGGTAACATTGTCAAATGGATCACTTTAGTAGAATTATGCCACCACCAAAAAGCGGTGACATATTGCTATGGTCTCTATTTTTTGTGAAGGCGATCAGCGGATGGCAGTTGGTGATTGGTGGTTGGCGATCGGTGTCTGTAACAATTTTTTACAATTTCCAATAACTTGACAAATACTGTTTAGACTGACTTCAATTTTTTTTCAAAATCATCTACAAGTTTTCAGAAGTTCAAATCTGACTCCAGAATCAAGATTTGACCTTTGATGACATTTTCAAGGTCAAATAAAGGTTAAAAAGGTATTTTTCAACTTGCTTCAAATTGACCAATTTTTTTTCAAAATCATCTACACGTTCTCAAAAGTTCAAATCTGAATATAGATTTGACCTTCAATGATACTTTGAAGGCAAAAAAATTTGACCTTCAATGACTTTTTCAAGGTCAAAAAGGGTCTTTTTTCAACTTGCTTCTAATTGACCAATTTTTTTTCAAAATCATCTTCAAGTTCTCAGAAGTTCAAAACTGACTTTAGATTTGAGATTTCACCTTCGATGATCTTCTCAGGGTCAAAAAAGCTTGTTTCAAATTGACCATTTTTTCAACTTCATCTACATAACTCTCTGAAATTCAAATCTGACTTAAATAACGAAAATATATAATTTGACCTTGAATGTTTTGAAAGATTATAGTATGTCATGTGATTCACCTTTCAGATGGCCCACATTCTAATGATGGTTATGCCCAGTCTGAACAAAGCACAGGGCCGTTTGATGAGACTTCTGTAGAGATCAGCGAACATGACGTAAGTGCCTCCCATCAATATATTCCCAAGCTTGCTGTGAACAAATGAGAATTAACAAGAAAATTATATTCAGATTGAAATGTTGAAATGGTATAATTTGGCAAGATGTCATCAAATATTTAGTACTAGTGAGTACCTTTGATGTTCAGGAATAAAATGTTTTTTATTATTTTCTCTGAAACACATATCATAATTATCCCATCGAACGAAGTTCAGAGGGATATAGGGAATGCCTCTGTCCATCCGTCTGTCCATCCGTCTGTCCCTCCGAAATCAAGACAAAGAAAGAAGGCAACGAATGAAAACACTAATGCAGCAACAACAAATGACGTCTGTCCATCTGTCCGTCCGTCCGGGCAATAACTCAAATACCGTTGGCCCGATTTTGGTCATATTTTGTACACATATACCCTATGGGGGTAGAAGTTCTACTCGAAAGTCAATTTTCAAAATGGCTGCTTATTTAAAAATGGCAGCCATTTAAGTGCCAATTTTGCAATTGTTTAAGTGCAATATGTAAAACTGAAATAGCAATATGTTTTAAATGTAAAAAAATTATAAAGGACATTAATAAAGTCAGAAACATAGATATTAAAGAAGCACATGGCAGCCATCTTGAAAAATGGCAGCATTTACTTGTTATCTTACGATTTTTGCCGTAACTTTGAAAGTAGTGGAGCGATTTTGTTCATATTTGGTATGTGAATGCTGTAAGCATGGCACACTTTCTAATGACACTTTTGGTCTTTTGGTAGAAGGTGGCCATTTTGAAAAATGCCGGCAATTTTTTGCTATATACTTTGTTTGTAAAAAATGCCAGCCATGGCTGTTTGATGGGATTTGCTACGCTTTGGCGTTGCTGTTGTCTAGTTAGGGTCTAAAATGATATATACTATTCAGACTTGCTAGCACATGATGTAGTCCGTACAATCTACAGGACTTTCATGTCATAGTTATTAATGATTTCTCATCTCAATCCCTACCCCAGTTTGATTTTTTCTTTAATCAATAGGAAATATGACGTGAAGTATTGTTGTATATCATTTTTCAAATTTTAGATGTATAATGCAATATATTATTGATGTGTGTACTGTAAAACATGTTCAAATTTGCTCAAATTAGCCATGCAATTGGTAAACTAAATCAGCAAATGAATATATGACATTAGTATCAAACAACAGATATCAAGATGCAAAATACTAAAAAATTCTGAATTCAAGAATTGTATGCTTTTTTGAACATGTTTTTCTATATGTATATTTAGAATAACATGTGTAAGTTATAAACAGGCTTGAAACTATTTTCATCAATATTTTTTGAACAAAATGTCATAAACATATACCAAACATATTTCTACTTTAAACTTGCAACATTTTACAGTACTTCTCTAAGGTAAAACTATAATAAGAGATCTAGCTAACAACACTTAATATAGTTTTATACAGCTGTGTATACCGTTATGTAACATTATTGTTAAGTTGAAATATATTTATTATTGTATATGAATTATTTTCGTGTTGCATGGCATTTTATAATTTACCAAATTATTGTTTTGCCAACATTATAATCAGCTCTTGGTAGGATCAGAGGTTTGTTAGGAAAATATTTATATTTTTTTGAAAATTAGAAAGTTACTATCTAAAGAGAAATGAAGTATTATAGAATGTAGGCTCTCAACCTTATAGTTCTGTTTAAGAATTTGGTTAATTTGGTTTAATGATTCTTCACTATGCATATATTTCTTATTATCCCATCGAACGAAATTCGGAGGGATATAGGGAACGCCAGATCAACATAAGAACATCAGTAAGGGGAAGGAGAGAGTTTTCCGGCCGGATCAAAACGTTTAACCCACCTACGCGCAGTCTCAAGTCTGTGGACCCTGAAGAAAGATAACTAACATCACAATCAAATCAAGACAAAGAAAGAAGAAAATGAATGAAGAAACTAATGCAGCAACAACAAATGACGTCCGTACATACGTCCATCCGTCCGTCTGTCTGTCTGTCCATCTGTCTAGGCAATAACTCAAATACTGTTGGCTCGATTTTGTTCATATTTTGTACACATATATCCAATGGGGATGGAAGTTCTGCTTGAAAGCCGATTTTCAAAATGGCCACTCATTTAAAAATGGTGGCTATTTTAGTGCGGATTTTACAGTAATTTAGGTACTGCATGTAAAACATGTTTTAAATGTAAAAAAGTTATATAGGACATTGATTAAGCTAGAAATGTAAATATAGAAGAAATACATGGCAGCCATCTTGAAAAATGGCTGCCCTTGCACGTTATTTTACGATTTTTGCTGTAACTTGAAAAGTAGTGGAGCGATTTTGTTCATATTTGGTATGTAAATACTTTAAGCATGGTACAATGTCTAATGACGTTTTGGGTAGTAAAATGGCCGCCATTTTTACGTGTGTCATTTTACATTTTTTACTAAAACTCAAAAAGTGGTGGAGCCATTTTATTCATATTTTATATGTGAATACTATAAGCATGGCACACTGTCTAATGACACTTTGCGTAGTAGGTGGCCATTTTTACATTTTTTTTACTATAACTTGAAAGTAGTGGAGCGATTTTGTTCATATTTGATATGTGAATACGTTAAGCATGGCACAATGATTGCATACTGACTCTTATGACATTTTGGGTAGTAGGCGGCCATTTTGAAAAATGGCCACCATTTACATGTACGTGTGTGATTTCTTAACAATTTTATGTGTGGCAACTTAAAAGCGTATTACTTCTTCTGATGACAACTTGGCTAGTGAGCAACCAGTTTTAAATGGTTGCCTTTCTTATGTGTGTTATTTTATGATATTTGCTATATATTTCCTTTGTAAAAATGCCAGCCATTTCTGTTCGATGGGATTCTCTACTCTTTGGCGTTGCCGTTGTTCTGGTTGTATTTACCGGGCGTTCAATAAGTACTGATGAAAATGATGTAACTTTTTATCGCACCCTCAGGTGCTATATTGTAATCAGTTTGCCGGGCGGGCGGTTGCGCGGGCGGTTGGTCGAGCGGGCGGTTGGTCGGGCGGTTGGGCGGGTGGTTGGGCAGGTGGGCGTCCCGAATAATCTTGTCTACAGGTTTCCAGCCAAACTGTTTGAGGGATTCATTTGAAATTCTCAGGGATGTTTCTACCTATGAAAGTTTAGAACTGATTAGTTTTTCAGCATTCTGGGTAAATGTTAAGGCGGCCATTTTGGATTTTCCGTCCTAAAATCTTGTCTGTCAAGGCTTGTCTACAGGTTTCCAGCCAAACCGTTAGAGGGATTCATTTGAAATTCTCAGGGATGTTTCTACCTATGAAAGTTTAGAACTGATTAGTTTTTCGGCATTCTGGGTAAATGTTAAAGGCGGCCATTTTGGATTTTCCGTCCTAAAATCTTGTCTGTCAAGGCTTGTCTACAGGTTTCCAGCCAAACCGTTTGAGGGATTCATTTGAAATTTTCAGGGATGTTTCTTCCTATGAAAGTTTAGAACCGATTAGTTTTTTGGCATTCTAGGTAAATGTTAAAGGGTTCCGATTAGCATCCCGTATAAAAACAATATGGCGGCTCCAGGCGAATCAACTGGATCAGTCCATTTTTAAGAAATAAGGGGAGTTCTGTAAAATCCAGTTTATTGAAATTGTCTTTGGGATAGAGTAATCCGTTTATAACGATTTTGAAAACGTTATCCAAAGAGTGATTGCGTTCAAAGAATACATGTACAACAGCCAATATAAATCCTTGTATTAGAAACCGGTTTGTCTTGCTTTGTTTCATTTGTAGGATATTTCATATGCCAAGCTGTGTGCTATTACGTTATGGGGAAATTTAGATGCCAATTTTTCCTTATTATACACAAATAGAAGATCCTGAAACTTCACCCATAAATGTGGAATTGATTTGTCAAAATAAAAATCACCCTTTTATAAATGTGTGATGATCTATAATATACTTATGCTATATAACAGTTAGAGGTGTTGACACAACGAGCTCGAACCTGTGAACCCTTGAGTATTATTCCGGGATCGGGCCTTTTATACTAAACGGTGAGCAACACCAGAAACGAGCGTTCGATTTGCTTAACGATATGCGTCACCCTTTAAGGCGGCCATTTTGGATTTTCCGTCCCAAAATCTTGTCTGTCAAGGCTTGTCTACAGGTTTCTAGCCAAACCGTTTGAGGGATTCATTTGAAATTCTCAGGGATGTTTCTACCTATGAAAGTTTAGAACTGATGAGTTTATCGGCAGACTGTTAAGGTGGCCATTTTGAATTTTCCATCCCGAAAAGTGTATTCTGTTCAAGGGTGCGATTTTGTTCACTTTGTGGCTTATTTATTTTTCATATATCTTACTAATCTTTCTAATGTGCAATGTTGAGTATTATACTGATGTCCTGTGGAAGTTACAGGGCTGTTCTCCAACAGGAAGGTGGTGCTGGGTTGAGCTAAAGGTGGTTGCTCCTCAGACAATTGCTTGCGCCCAAACCTGTCACATATTAATGTCATCTCTAAATCATTATGAGTTACATGGTGTGTATTAATCTGACTAGGGGAAGTTACAGCTTTTGGTCACCCCTGTCTGGGTTCATCTTCAACTGACTTTCTCCCTCCTTGAAATAGCGGTTCCAACGATATATGCCAGGGTTAGATATAGTATCCTTTCCAAAAGCTTGATGAATGTCCTTTATTGTATCCTGTTTTGATTTTTCTCGGAGTATAGAGAACTTGGTGCTGCTTCTAATTTGATGCTGAATATAATTGATGTTCTGTTCAGCAGTCATGTTGTTGATGACAATTTCTGCTAAGTCTGTGTGATGTGATTTCTCCATGAAGTCATCTATCTTAAACTGCTCTGTGATGTCATTTCCACTTTACAATTTTCTCAATAGGTGTTACTATGGTTTCTTAGTACCAGTGTTTATCTGCCAATTGTCAAAATGGATTCAAAAATAAACTTTTGTGAAGACCTGAACCACGACGAACCACCTTAGGCTCCACCCAGTACCACCTTCCTGTTAAAGGGTGACGCATATCGTTTAGCAAATCGAACGCTCGTTTCTGGTGTTGCTCACCGTTTAGTATAAAAGGCCAGATCCCGGAATAATACTCAAGGGTTCACAGGCTCGAGGTCGTTGTGTCAACACCTCTAACTGTTATATAGCATAAGTATATTATAGATCGTCACGCATTTATAAAAGGGTGATTTTTATTTTGACAAATCAATTCCACATTTATGGGTGAAGTTTCAGGATCTTCTATTTGTGTATAATAAGGAAAAATTGACATCTAAATTTCCCCATAACGTAATAGCACACAGCTTGGCATATGAAATATTCTACAAATGAAACAAAGCAGTTCTAATACAAGGATTTATATTGGCTGTTGTACATATTCTTTGAACTCTATCACTCTATGGATAATGTTTTCAAAATCATTATAAATGGATTACTTTATCTCAAAGATAATTTAAACTGGATTTTACAGAACTCCCCTTATTTCTTAAAAATGGACTGATCCAGGAGCCGCCATATTTTTTTTATACGGGAAGCTTATCGAAACCCTTTAAAGTACATTCTTGTAACTTTCACAGTTCATCAGTACAATACTCAACAATGGACAGTAGAAAAGTTAGTCAGAAATATATAAAATGAGAAAAGTTACAGCATTTTTATCAGTACTTATTGAATGCCCTGTATTTCATTAGTTTTAAAAATGCAATATTATATTTTTACTTTTTTTGTTACTTTCTGAATCTTCTCTGGTATATAATATCACTTATAAAATATTATTATATATTTGTTTTTTTAGGAGCTCATACTGTTGATTGATAGACCATGGTCTTCTATGGTCATATTGGTGATGAAAAAATGATATTTAGTTGACTCCATGTTGAAATCTATGAACTCTATCCTTATGTTTTATCTTCAGATATAAAAGTGCTTTCTTTTGGTAATTTTTGTTTCATTTTCAATAGAAACATTTTTGCATGCATGGTGCATTAAGTTCTGTACTTTACTTGCAAATCTAAGGCCCTGTTGGGATTATAAAATGCCTCAGAGGTGACAAACATATCTCATAATATCATGTAATAATTAATTTTTGTATACTCATAGAGATCTTTGTTGTATTGTATGTCAGAGCTTATCATAATGGAGTAATTAGTAAATACAGTTTTGAAGTTTTGAAAGAAATATTTGAGATGATGTTCTACTGAAACAATGACTAATTTTTTTTATTTATGTATTAAAATGATGAGATGAATGCACTTAATTATTTCAGGAGCATCTATTTGACACGAGTGACCTCTTGGATGAGCCACCATTGATCTCCAAATGTGGATTATTGGAAGTCACATTTTTGTATGACAAGGCACGTCAAAAACTTGGAGTTACAGTGATTGGAGCTCGGGATATTCCAGCAAAAGATAGGGGTGGTGCTAATAATACACAGGTAAGTTGTGGGGCAACCCCCCCCCTTATAATTTCAGAAATAAACAGTCATTCTAGGGTGTATTGATATCATTGGAAAGGTTATTCAATTCTCAGCATTTTGAGCTTACTAAAAACGAACTATATTCATGAACAAATTCATATTCTTAGAATATAGTGGTATGTCACATGCAGTATTTCAACAAAACTTTATAAATTCAAAATTCACAACTACAGTTATATATTGTATTTGAGAAGGAAACCTGGTTTAACCAGCTCTTAACTTTCCTCTTAGGGTGATAGAGTCACAATTTTTTCGCTAAACATGCCTTATTATCCCAACGAACAAAGTTTGGTAGGGATATAGTGAAGCCCTCCGTCCGTCAGTCAGTCCGTCCGTCCATCCGTCTGTCCGTCCGGAAGATAACTCAAATACTAGTTGACGGATTTTCTTCATATTTAGCGGAAAGATGTGTATTGATGAATAGTTTTACGCAAAAAAAATATTTTTCAAGATGGCCGCCGCTTTAAAAATGACGGGACTTTTTCGCAAAAATCATAAATTTTTCATTCTAAACCAAAGTAATTAATATTATTGTTTGAAATTTTGGTAGTATATTCACAACATTTATCTATTACACATATATTCCGTGTTTTTCATCCTGACCCCCAGGGGCCCTGTATGGGGGGTCAGGAAAACAGAGATTTTCGCTAATTTTTAGATCTTTCTGAAGTATAGCTTTATTATACTCAAATGAAAGGCAATTAAGAGTAGATTGCAAATATTGTATCTTTTTTCTGATTCGAGCCTCGTAAAATTCAAAATGGCCGTCTAATGTATGATTACGCAATAATTTTTCGATCCCTTCAAAGTATGGCTATATTATACTCATATTGAAGGAATTTTGGAGTAGATCACAATTATGGTATTATTTTTCAGATTTGTACCTCAGAAAATTCAAAATGGCTGCTTTGCAGGAATTCGCAATTCTAAAATCTAATTTTTTTCAATTTTAACCAAAATGATGAGTATAATTGATTGGAATTCAGTAATTGATATTTTGTTTGTTGGGATTTGCTACTCCGCGGAGTTGCCATTATCTAGTTCAATCTTAGGAAAAGCCTGAAAATTTCAGGTTAACAAAAGATCAACTATGAAAAAAATTATCAAAAAATCCCCCAACCTGTTAAGGGTTAAATAATACATATATCTCATATTAAAGGAATCCTATCCTTTATTTCAGGAATAAAGAATCTTGTATCATTCTATATTTGGAATATAATATTAACGCATGAGGGGATGTACTAATCCATGCATATAATGCACAAAGGCAAAGCCTGAGTGCATTATCAGAATGGTTTAGTACATGCACGAATGTTTTTATATCCAATGTACAAGAGAATCATGCAGTATTCAAACATGATGCTGGCCAATGATGAAGTAAAACATAACAAAAACATTATTGAAATTATGTATATGTCACTGAATCAAACATACCAAGTGTGTCAGTCTCACAAGTTCATCATCGAATCGGAATTTAACAGAAAACTTAGTTAGAAAATCATAGTATTGATTGAAATTAACACACCGATGATATGCCGTCACCCCTTTTTTAAGAATAGGCCTGCTCAACCCCTGCGTGTATCAAAAATGATATGCACAGCAAAATCATTTTTCATGCATACAGTGTATATCAATAAAATAAGGTGGCGAAATGCTCTAAACTGATTGGCTGAGACACACTTGGCATGTTTGAATTTCTTTTAAAACACCCAAGTATTATAATTTTAGACTATTTCAGTAGCTTGTACATTTATTCATTCAGTTTGAATTTTGCCTGATGTCATAGACATACTGCTACTCAAAGACAAAAGCAAATTCACATCATCTTTGTAAATATGTCAGTGATAGCACAAGTATTGATATTTAGAAATTACCTAAGTATTTGCACCCTGTTGAAAATCATAAAAATGAGTTGTTTTGACTCGTTTCTGATATTTTCTAGTCAGAGTACTGCTAAAATGATCATTTTATACACAGATAAGTTCATTAAGTTGACATATGTTGTGTTGCAGGTTAGACTCATGCTGTTACCCACCAAGAAACAGAAGCACAAGACCAAGATTAAGCAAGGGGAGCAACCCGAATATAATGAGATATTTACATTCAACAAGATACCACCAGGTACAAAAACAGATGTGAATCTAAACATTTCTAATAAAAGACATCTCACTTCTCTATGTAGAAGCCAATTATCCCTACACCTCTCACAATTTCTGATCTACATCTGTATTTGTAATTATGTATTGCTATACGAGGGGTGATTCAAAAGTAATAGACAACATTTTATAGGCATGCCTTCTCTCACCCAATTTGCGTGAAATTTGGTATATATGAAGATCAACCAATTATCTATAAGTTGTGAAAACTGTGTCACATCAAAAGAAATACATTTCAAGATATGGCACATCTCCCGCATTAGGGTGCTTATACCCGGAATTGGCTTCTAAGCATATTGACATCTTAAAAACATGAATTTTTATAAAAAGTGAGCTAGTGAAATACATTTTGCAATATTTGAAGATGGTAGTACAATAAGTTCAACCATAATTTCACATCATTCCTGATCATCCATTTACATTCTATTTAATATTTGAATCATCTGTTATGGCACTTATTCCCCTCAGTGTCAATCACCTGACTGCATTTAAAATGGCATCTACAAGATGAATATTGTTAACTTTGTGATTAGGGTGACCCATCTGTGGTCTTCCAGATCGCTAAAAGCCAGATCGCTAAAGATTCAGTGCCCTCTCATCATCTCCACTAAAGTGCTTGAACAATCTTTAAAGGCCTTATCTCAATGTGTATCTTTAGTATTCCTGACAACAGCCTGCCTTGTGATTTCATAAAATTAAAGGTTCATTGATATTTATTAATTTTACAACTATATTTCAGATAACATTGCTAACATGGGGATAAGGTTCCGACTGTATGGTACAGAGCGCATGAGGAAAGAGAACATGATCGGAGAGAGTGTTGTAGGTTTTGCATCCTTGAACCTTGATGAGGAGACATCTCATTGGTTGACACTTGAGCCAAGGAGTAATCTAGTGGTAGGTCCTATATCATTATCCCACTGAACGGAGAGGGGAATATAGAGAAGCCATCCGCCCATGGTGTGTCCGTTTGTTCATCCGATCGAGTGTCTAGGTGATAACTCAAATACTGGTTGACGGATTTGATTCAAAGTTTATAGGCTTATAGGACCTCTACTTGGGAGGGTTTTCAATATGGCCACTCAATTCAAAGTGGCCACCATTTTTCGAGAAAATGTAATTTTTAATAACTCGAATACAAGTCGACCGATTTAGATAAAATTTTATATACTGATGCCTTAAGGGACACAGTAGCTCTGTTTGAGAAAGATTTTTTAAGATGGTGGCTGATTTTTCCTAATGGCCACCATTTTTCATCAAAAAAGCGTAATCTTTGATAACTCAAATACCAGTGAACAGATTTGTTTCAAATTTTATATGCTGATGCATAGGGACACAGTAGCTCTGTTCAAAAAATCCTTGATAACTCAAATACCAAGGGAAGGATATTGTTCAAATTTTATATGCTGATCGATGCCGGACAAACAAGCTCTGCTCAAGAATTTTGAAGATTGTGGTGCAATTTCAAAATGACTGCCATTTTCCAATTAAAAATGTTATCTTTGATAACTCAAATATCAGTGGATGAATTTGCTTAAAATTTTATAAGCTGATGCCAAGGGACAAAGGAACTCTGCTTGATTAGGAGGAAATTTTCAAGATGACAACTGAATTTTAAAAGCTGATAAATCAAATACCAGTGGATGGATATGGTTCAAATTTTATATGCTGATGCCGGACAAACAAGCTCTGCTCAAGAATTTTGAAGATTGTGGTGCAATTTCAAAATGGCTGCCATTTTTCATTAAAAATGTAATCTTTGATAACTCAAATATTGGGACAAGGGACAAAGGAACTCTGCTCAATTAAGAGAAAATTTTCAAGATGACATCTGAATTTTAAAAGCTGATCAATCAAATACCAGTTGATGGATTTGGTTCAAATTTTACATGCTGATGCTTTGAGATAAAGGAGGTCTGCTCAAGATGGCCACTATTTATCAAAATGGCCTCCATTTGTTGTTATAAATGTTATCTTTGAGATCTCAAATAAGAGTTGACGGAGTTGGTTCAAATTATGTGCTGCTAGGTAGGGAAAAAGGAGCTCTGTTCAAGAAGAAATTTTCAAAATGACAGCTGTATTTCCAAATGGCCGCCATATTTTGGGAAAAAATACAATCTTTGATAACTGAAATACCAGTGGATGAATTTGGTGCAAATTTTATATGCTGATATGCTCTGTTCAAGAAGAAATTTTCAAGATGGCCACTAATTATCAAAATATGTTTTGTTCGGTGGGATTTGCTACTCCGTGGAGTAACTGTTTTTCTAGTTTTTTAATGAAAAATAAATCAAATGAAATATTTTTTGTCACATTTATCTAATGTGTGATCAAGTTATATTAGATGTTCTGCATAATCTAAGAATGAATCCACATTTACTGAGTAAACAAAATGAAATGCTAATAGTGTTCTCAAAGTAAAGATACCATGTCGCAAAACCTTCTTATGATAAACAACAGATCAAGGGATCTTTCAATAGAAACCCCGATTAAGGGCCATAAAATGAGAATTTTAATATTTGACTGCTGGTGAAACAAATATTTGGACACCTTTGATTGGTTCCATGATGATCTTCATGGGAATGGCACACCACACAGTAACAGGACAGAAAAACTGCATGATTTTGAAAGAATTTTTGGATAGTGAGGTCGAAGCAGAGGCTAAGGAAAGCAGTTGTCCACTTGTTATATACGACCACTTTTTTTTCATATGGCGACTACATGTTTCAATCTGGTAGTCCTGTTTGCGTCTAGTACTTTTTATAGTAGAATCTTGTGAAGTTTTTAAATGAAAATCTATTTCTAGAATCTGTATTCAAACCAATCATGATAATTCTTTAAACAATGATGCACGATTTCTAAAACGATATTTGATTGGATAAATTTTGAAAACTGCATGAAAATGTGATTTTCTCTTCTAATCAGAATAGTCTTCCATGTTGGAATTTGTTAGAAATGTCATACGTATATATTTTTGATAAAAACCACAATAATTGACTTGAATTTCTTCTTATTTCAAGTTTTAATCAATTGAAGATACCAAGAAAAAATTCGTTTTTGATAACAGTGATTTTGTATTCCAGCAGTGAGATAGAGTCAGGCCTGGAACCCGCCCGGGGCTGGCAATCAGACACATCTGAAATCATAATTTATATTTATTTTTATAATGAAATTTTGGGACCACTAAAACTTTGAAAGTAGTGGTCCTCTTGGGACAACAGGATTTTATTAAGGACCACTACATACACAATTTTAGTGGCCCCTGGGACTAGTACAGTTTCCTAAACCTCTGATTGGAAGAGCCCCCTGAACCCTCCCCCCCTGGGTGCAGGCCTGACAACTACCACCTCAACTACCACCACTATCAGTTTTAAATAATATTATACCATTTTATGTTCAAGAATTCACTGCACTGTGTTTATCTGTGATGTTTTCTTTATTAAGGACTCTAAGCTGGATGTGTCAAGTCTGTCTAGAAGTGATAGTGCATCATCAACACAGTCCATGCAGCATGGTGGAATGCCAGAGCTTCTGATTGGTCTAGCTTATAATGGGACTACAGGACGCTTATCTGCGGAGATCTTTAAGGGCAGCAACTTCAGAAATATGGCCATGCAGAGGGCACCTGGTGAGTGGTTCTTCAGTATATACCTCAAGTTCTCCCTTTTGGCACATATTCAGTTATTGTAGAGTCATCAAATATGACTTATAAATATATTTTAAGGTAAAGGTAAAGTTCTCAAATGGATGAAACAGGAAGCATCACTAATATAAACCCCCAAACAAAGGAGGTTACGAATTTTAAATTTTTTCTTAAAACTCTCCTTCTTTTGTTCATCAGTTTTGAGGGAGGCAAGTTTTCCAAATTATGTTGCTCCTTCATTTTGTTTATTTGTTTCAAAAATATTTTTTGTAGTTTAAGAAACTTTGGTTGAATGGTTTTTCGCATCCATTCCTCAAAAAAATGTCTCAAATGCTTCATTTTACATTTTTCTAAAAAATAAGTTTTTATTATGTCACCACCAAAAATTGGTGACATATTGCTATGGTCTACGTTGTTTTTTTACGGCGGTCGGCAGTTGGTGGTTGGTGGTTTGCGATCGGCGTCGGTAACAAATTCTTACAACTTCCAATAACTTAACAAATACTGTTTAGACTTTTTTTTAAATCATTTACATGTTTTCAGAAGTTCAAACCTCACTTAAGATTTGAGATCTGACCTTCAATGACCTTCTCAAGGTCAAAAAGGTCTTTTTTCAACTTGCTTCAACTTGACCATTTTTTTCAAAATCGTCTACAAGTTCTCAAAAGTTCAAATCTGACTATAGATTTGACCTTCAATGACACTCTCAAGGTAAAAAAATATTTGACCTTCAATGACGTTCTCAAGGTCAAAAAGGTATTTTTTCATCTTGCTTCAAATTGACCAATTTTTTTTCAAAATGATCTACAAGTTCTCAGAAGTTCAAATCTGACTTAAAATTGAACTAATAATATTGTGAGCAACTAGGCGGTGACATTTTGTCACGTTAATGCCTTGTTATACTTATACAGTATTTATAATTATAATGTTGCATAAACACCTATGAAATAAAAGAAATGGCTTGCCTTTCTTTTAGAATTTCTGAAGTCTTACTATTCTTCTATTTTGTATTCTTACTAAATCAAAAGAATAAGTTGCCCGTATTTTGTATTATTATTTTATGTATTTTTACTTATAACCCACAACCTTGTATAGATGGAGCCTTATGTTGTAGATACCTATGTGAAGCTGACTCTGATGTCACCTAACAGTCAAGAAATTGCACGAAGCAAGACATCTATCAGACGTGGTCAACCCAACCCCCTCTATAAAGAAACATTCATGTTCCAAGTCCCCATGTTCCAACTACCAGATGTCACTCTCATGATATCTGTGTATAACAAGAGAAGTATGAAACGCAAGGAGATGATTGGCTGGTTTTCTTTGGGTATGTCATTTTAATTTAATTAATTTGATAGTGTAATATAATTGACGGATTTGGTTAAGGGACAAAGGAGCAACACTGAAAAAAGGATTTTAGAATGCTAAATATCAAAATGGTTGCCATTTTCCGTGAAAACGTAATTTTTGATAACTCAAATACCAGTGAACGCATTCAATTCAAATTTTATATGATGATGCCTAGAGAAGGCAGCTGAATTTTAAAATGGCCACCATTTTAAGCAAGTAAATTCGCTATAACCACAACCAAATGAGAGTAAACTCGTAGGAAGAACAAAAACTTGCGCATAAACCCATTAATTGTTGAGATCTTCTTAGTTTTTGAAAATTCAGATTTACTGCTACTTTATGTTATCTCAAATTATTTTAAGTTTAATATTAGTAAGATGTGTAAAGCTTATCATCATACATCACTAACATTTGAAATTATTACTTTATATCCCTTCAGACATTTTTTAGTCCAACTAATATAATTTTAACACATTTATTTGTGTGGACAATGTAGTGATGTAATATTACATTGTTGACAATTGAATATTGTTACTTGTATGTAAGAATGTATGAATAGCAATGATTATCCCATCGAACAAAGTTCGGAGGGATATAGGGAACGCCTCCGTCCATCCATACGTACATCCGTCCGTCTGTCTACAAAACATGTGGGACAGTGTATCTATATATAACAAGATGTCCGTCCGTCTGTCCGGGCAATAACTCAAATACCATTGGCCCGATTTTGTTCATATTTTGTACACATATGCCCTATGGTGGTAGAAGTTCTGCTTGAAAGCTGATTTTCAAAATGGCCGCTCATTTAAAAATGGCAGCCATTTTAGTGCTGATTTTACAGTAATTTAGGTGCAATATGTAAAACTGTAATAGCAATATGTTTTAAATGTTTTAAATTATATAGGACATTAATAAAGCTAGAAATGTGGATATTAAAGAAGCACACAGCCATCTTGAAAAATGGCTGCCTTTACTCGTTATTTTACAATTTTTGCTGTAACTCGAGAAGTAGTGGAGCGATTTTGTTCATATTTGGTATGTAAATACTATTAGCATGGCACATTGTCTAATGACACTTTTGGTTGAAGGTGGCCATTTTGAAAAATGGCCGCCATTTTAACGTATTTTATTATAACTCGAAAAGTGTAGTGGAGCGATTTTGTTCATATTTGGTATGTGAATACTTTAAGCATGACACACTGTCTAATGACACTTTTAGTAGAAGGTGGCCATTTTGAAAAATGGCCACGATTTTGTTCATATTTTGTATGTGAATACTATAAGCATATATAAACTTTGTTTGTAAAAATGCGAGCCATGGCTGTTCGATGGGATTTGCTACGCTTTGGCGTTGCTGTTGTCTAGTTTTCAACCCAAGTTTGCTGTCCACGGGGCTATCCATTGAATTGTCGGTTAAAGATGTAATAAAATGACAATCATAATATTTTCTTAGCTTGTATTTTGCAAAACTCGCAACTAGATTTTGATGTTTTAACTATAAAACTCAATTTCCCCACAAAAACATTTCGATTAGGAACTGTTTATCTGAAATGTTGATATTTTTGTATGCTTTTTGGAGTCATGTCACAATGGCAGTTTTGACATGCCACAAATCCAAGTTATTCTTGGGCCAAATCTGAATATTTTTTGTCGAAAACTACTAGAAAAGTTAAATTGCCTTTGACCAAGGATACATGTCCTATGTAGTATTCAACCGTTGGATATATTTATGATAATCAACCTACCTCTAATCTTATCTTATTATTTTCCATGAAAGAAAACTCATTGGTTCTAAGGACATTGTTTAAGCCACGTCGGTATTTGTCATTACCTACTTTGTATTTTGGGTATCAGATGTTTTTGACATGACATCCATGGTGATTTAATTTGAGAGATAATAATTTGGGGTTATATTCCCTGGATAAACTATAACGTCATACACATGTACATTTTTACAAGCTTACGACGTCCCTAGGTGTTCTTTATTTGCCTTAAACACCAGAAAAGATTCCCCAAAATATTACACTATAAGTTGACCATTTTGGGGATTCATTGAAGCTAAAGGTGTTCATTGACACACCATCAATACATTTTACCAAGTATCGACATTACAAAGTGTTCAAATATGAAATATAAACATACCTTCCCTCCAAGACCTCCATTTTGCCAGGCTTTGTCCACACATTTCATCTTTGCTTTATAAAATTGTCCACACTCAAACCAGGGAGTGAAACAAGCTCTGCCCAAGAAACAATTTCAAGATGGCCACTAATAATCAAAATATATTTTGTTCAATGGGATTTGCTACTCCGTGGAGTTGTTGTTTTTCTCATCTTTCTTGAAAGAAAAATATTGACTTGAAATTGAGCATGAGGAAGGTTTTATCCCTAGAATGAATCTTTCATTAGGAATAGAAATACATTAAATTTGATTTATTTCATATTTCAGGTCTAACAAACAGTGGAGAGGAGGAGCAGGCACATTGGAATGACATGAGAGAAAGCAAAGGTGAACAAGTCTGTAGATGGCATGTTCTATTAGAGTCATAGTCATGTTGGCATCATTAACACTTGCCCCAACTGGAAACCCATAGTTATCAGTTAAACTGAATACTTCATTGCTGAGTTATTTAAATACTTAGTGATTTCTTAATGCCTTTAATCTCCCTATAAGTCCCTTGATAATCAAGTATCTTGACTACTGAATCACTTGGTAATAAATTGTGTTGATTGCCAAATCTCTTGATTATCAATTTTTTGATTATCAAGTGACAGTGATGCTTAAAATCTCCATAATAGTGGATTCCAGTCACACTTCTAACATTCTACACCAGGGGCAGCTGAAGGAAGGATAATGTACATTTAGTGACCCATATGATGGCAATCTGAACACTGAAAGATCTGAAGTACTGTATATGTATTTAAAGAAACATAAAATGTTTTAAAATGGATAAATATTTAGCCATTGCATTCTATTCAAAGTTCAAAGGACCTTGATGATAAACAATAAATGTTTGGACTATCTATCCATTTGTTAAAGTTTGTGCATCAGGATATCAAACTAGATTTTTAGTACCTGGATCTTAAGCTTTAAATTTTCTGTATCTGGATCTTCAGCTTTGAATAGTAAGACAAAACTCTGAGTATCTTGATCTTAAGGTTTCAGGATTTAAGCTTAGAGTATTTGGATCCTAAATTGTGAGTTTCTTGATTTTAAGCCTCAAAATATCTGGGCATTAAACTTTGAAAATCCAGGATTCAAAAGCTGAATTTATTGTTCAGTGTGGAATTATATTCAAATGTGATCCATGATATAGATGAGTATGAACAGTGAAGACTTATTCATATTTAAGGCAGTATTTGTGTCCAACATTGTACTATTGTTTGTAATTTTGTGCTGGTACTTGTGATTTGCAATACTCTCTACATTGTACATCCAGCTAAACATCAAGTGGGATCTGAGTTCTTTTGAATAAAGAAAATTCAGAATTGAAAATTGTATAAGCATTTAAATTAGTTGAATTGCATTACTTTTAAGCATAATCAATTGTGTTTGACATATGAAGGGACAATTTTGTCTTATTAGGTCCTATGGGACCTGGTTATTACTCTGTAATTTTGATTTAATTTCTAATGAGAGGAATTGTGCAATCCTTAGACATTCAGTATGAGACTTTGAATGCTTTCCAAACTATGTAAACTTGCACATGTTGAATATTAGTTCATTCTGAGTATACTTGCCACATGCTAAGTATCAGTTTATTTTGAGTAAACTCCAATTACATTAAATAAACTAGAGCTGTTGTCTGAAAGTAATTATACTAGAAAAGCCAAGTGTTGCATTTTAACCATCCATATATATAATATGTTGGGTATGAGAGATTCCAAACTTTCAAACTATGTATGTAGTTTTAAATAACTATCTGTGAATACATATATTGGAGAAAGTAGCTGATAAGTTCAATATTTGGCGAAAATTTCAATCAGTATAGGTTTGAGCATAAATTGATTATGAATGTTTTTTTTATATTGGGTTATGGGTATGATATATATCAAGCATATATTCAAGCATAATTCTGCTTCTAGAATTAATTTTCTTGTTTATTAACTTCAACAGTAACATTCACTTTTTACATGTACTTATATCATGCTGTTATAACAATCTAGATGCAATTTTCCAATACTTTTGCTTATTTATACCATAAACAATCTAACTACATTCCTGTTTTACTATATTTTGGTATTTTATATTGATATAATATTTTGCAAATGTATCAAGTATTACTTTGGTCCAGGGAGTTATTATTGGTGTGGTTGCATTGCTACTTTTTAACTTATTTGTGAAATCAGAAGTTTCAGTGTTTTTCAAGAATAGGCCTGAAGTCCCTTAAGAATATTCAAGGGCTCATTTTAGAAGACAGGCTTAGGGTAAAAATAGAAATAGAGATTTGGCATTTGAGTTGTAAAGGATTTAAAATATTTGTCCTTCTGGTATTTCGAGATGAGCCCTGAAATTTCATTATTTTACATTGCTTAGAGTACTTTACAAGAATTAAAATATTTATATTTCCATTTTATGTCACCACTTTTTGGTGGTGTTATGGTCTCCGTTTTTTCTGTGACAGTGGTTGGCGATTGGTGGTTGGCATTTGTAACAAATGATGGTTGCATGTTAATGCCTTGTCTAAATATGGTATAGTGAAGCCTGTATAAAGTGAACAGGATCATTGCACCAAATTTCGAATATGGAATCCTTATCTATCTATTGTATTCCTTGTTAATTTTTTTGCATTATTGTCTTGATTACATAACATCAATGATAATGTCTGCTTTTTTCAAAAAATACTCAATGTTATATTTATTTTGTTTTTATTATTCATTGCAAAGAATATATATGGAAATACAATGTATACATATTCTATATAGTTTGTTATGTTAATTCTGTCATGTGTGTTGTATTTTCCACTCATTGGTAAAAATGCCATATCCATGCATGCAAATGGTGTGTATTGAATGGTTAACTGGCTTTGAACTGATTCTCAATGATTTTGTGACTGGCAAAGGGCATCAGTTTTGGCATTTGTAACAAATTATGACACACTTTTGCAATCATAACCAGGCTTGACATTTCACATAAAATGCCTCAGTGAATGCTTTTCTTCATTCTTTCAAGTTAGAAACGATTCAGATGTCTGCATCAAGAAATCTAACTGAAAATTTAACAACTTGAGATATTTGAAAAATGGATGGAGGTTCAACTAACATAACAAAGGAAATAATTTCATGTTCTAAACTCATACATCATTGGGTTGTAATTGAAATAATTCTGCTTCAAAATAACTTGTCAATGAAATGATAGAGCAATAAGCATTTCATATTATTATAGAGAAATTATTCATTACTGAAATTGGACTATCAAACATGATATTAATTCAAATAGTGAATCAACACTTAAATAATACATTATAAGTCAAAGTGACCATTATATTTGAAAGACCAAATTTAGTTTGAGTTTTAACATTATACATGTACACGTATAAGAAATAGAATCTAATGAAAGGTTGTATATGAAATGGGGCAAAAATTAGAGTAGGTAAGATGTTCTAGTCTCAAAATAGATGTTCTCCTGTTTGTAAGGATTTTTGTGCGATTGTGGCATAAACATTTTGAATTTCACAAAAGTTGATGCAACTTCTTTCAAAATTGAGTTAGAAGCTTCAAATAAAAAGCATTTTAAAGCTCCTTTCTCGTTCTTTTTCATGTGTTAGGCCTATATCTATAGCTCCAGCCACTGAGATCTTGTCTGATGCCTAAAAAAGTTTCAAAGAAAGAACTTAACTGTGGGGGTCTTTTTGACCCCCCCCACCCCTTACACTGGTGATCCACTCGATTACGCTGGTTACCAAAACGGTTCGTTTTGGTAACAAAATGTCGGAACGTCGAAGGTACGATTTTTCTTTTTTCCTTATTTCACGCGTTGTAGGCAGAATCCAAGAGATGTTTTTTCTCACAAACGTATATCAGTTTCATATGTTTTAGAAAATGTACATGTTTGCGAAAAAATAGCTCAGAAGACAACAGAATCGTCGATTTAATGCCTCACTTAGGTTACATAAACGGTTTGGGTTAAAAGTGCAGATCTTAACCGTTTTTCGAAAAACCGTTTATGTAACTTAAATGAGCAATTAAATCTACGATTCTGTTGTCTTCTGAACTATTTGTTCGCAAATATGTACATTTTCTTAAGCATATGACACCGATACAATAACATGTTTGTGTTAAAAATGTCGTGGGAAGTCTGCCTACAACGTGTGAAATAAGGAAAAAAGAAAAATCGTACCTTCGATGTTCCGACATTTTGTTACCAAAACGAACCGTTTCGGTAACCAGCGTAATCGAGTGGATCACCAGTGCCTTAGGGCTTCGAGGGTTAATCTCAGACACTGCTTGACTTCTTCTTCAATCTCTGAAATGGAGACCAGAGAAAGTGGTGAAATTTATATTTTTATCAACTTTGGATATAATTTATGATAATGATTTTGAAAATAAAAAAAACTGGCGTTTATTATACCTGAGACATCATATTCTCTGTTTGTCTCAGATTATACTTTTATTGCTCTAATTAGAATATAGAGGGCACTGCCGCAATATTTGTGTATTTATTAAATGTAACGTAAATGTAAACCCTTGTGAACTCAACTAATATCAAAATAGACAAAAACATTACTGTTATGTCAAATGATAGTAATGTGACAAATTATTCCACATATGAATAGTTTCAAATGCATATAGAGCCAGATTTTATAAGTTCGGATGAATATTTTATGAATGGGTTATTGAAAAGGAAATACAGAATTCTCTTTTACTAGAAACAGTTTCGGTTTGAGACTATAGCATAGTGGAGTAATGTTTTGAAAAGTTGTGAAAAGATAAGCAGACAAAGATGAAGGATTTACTACTAGAGAATGGATAACTTACACATGGAATTATGAGTAATATCAAAGTAGCTGTCCGTGTCAGACCTTTAACAAAAAGGTGTGTGAAAATACATTCTTAATAGTGATGGAATTCTTGACTACAGAGGAAGCTTGTAATTTGGAAATTATCGATTGAAATTTCAAATAGCCCTATGGCGGTGAATTTGAGTGTTTGTTTTGAATGTTTGGATTTTATTTTTCAGGGAAAAGGAAAACAAAAGTCGGATTATTGTTAAAATAAATGGAGATACATTGAGCATCCAGAACGTTAAGGTGAGTTTGAATAGATTACATCTAACTTGTTGGGTTATATGAGACCTGTTGTACGGGAGGAATTGTAACTTGTAGACTATCAACATGCAGTTTCAACCATGCGCTTTCAAGATACTTCAACTGTAAGCAACGATGTTTCCATTGCAGCGGTGTAGTGTTGGTATATTGTGAGTGTACGTCATGAGTGAGCGAAGTGCACAAGCTTTGAAGGGGCTTGGACGGGGTCCCCCGAGAAATTTGAAAATGAGATTGCATTTGAAGCGGTCTGGGGTGTTCTAAGATACAATGTTACAACTAATATGGACTAAAAATGTAAATTATTGGCCATTTTTATCCATTTTAAAGTTTGGGGCAATTCAACATAAAAAATAAACTTTTCTCTAAAATGTGAGAGTACGTCATGGCGTTTTATGCGTATATGACGCTACGCCATTGCATTGGATTTTTAGTAGAAGTAGATCTATGACAGAACATAATGATTATTCTGCTATATTGGCCTAGGTTGCTATTTTTGAGAGATTGGGCTAGCTCCTCCAAGACATATTTTCAAAATATCAAAGGAGATTGAACACCATTTTGTTATCTTCTACTTATTCATTTGGAGTGTGGAATCCCGGGAAACCAATTCCATTTTTATGAATTCCTGGGTATAATAACCTGGGGTTTGAAAAATGCATAATACTAATATCTAAGTGCATTAGTTATATATCATTTCCAGTACTATGTCTGTGGTATATCTAAAGGCAAAGTAACTCTTTCCTCATCAAAGCATCATAGTAAAGGAAGCCTGTTTAATCCCATGCCCAAACAAAATGATACTGTTAGATATATTTATATATATATATAGACATAGTACACTTTGCTATATATAAAAACTGAGTGATTTGAGCATGACTTCACATATCTATATCTCCATGATTCTTACTTAGGAATGTATATTATGGCTGCACTCATCTACACCATCAGGGCTGGTTGCCTGTAATGTTCTGATATAGTCTGGCCTGGTTTTACAGACAGCTGTAAACATAATGATCAACTCTTATCTTTTGGGCTGTATTTTACATGGCAAACAAAACCTACCACAGCTAAGTTAATACTATTACATGAATACATTAACATTGCACTATTACATATGTATATTGTATTAAATAAGTTTACAAGAATCAGTAGAATTAAAGACTTAGTCTAAATATGTAATTATAGCATCTGATTTATTCTGAAGAAATACTATATTGCAGTCAAGCCATTTAGTACACAACAAATTATACTTCAGCTGTAGGTGAATAATTCAATGATATAGCTGCAGCTGAATTATTGCATTCTACAGTGGTCATTAAGTATTCAAAATTCAGTTGAAGTGACATCATGATAAACCATGACATCTCAAATCTTCTCAGCCCTGTAACAGAAAGATGCTATGAGTATCAGAATGTCAAAGTGATATCATATTTGAAGTCTACATGTAAAATTACATTTAGAAATGTTGATTTACAAACTGTTTATCAACTTTGAAAGTTAAATGTGACTTCTAGCTAGGAGAGGTTCTCTATAGACCCCATGTTATAAAATCACAAAAGGTGAAATATCTTTCTTTTATTGGACAGATGATATTTTTTATTAGACATATTTTCATTTATATAACTATCAGATACATAAGGGTAATATAAAGATTGATCCACTAAAACTGATGAATATTCAAGTTTAAGGGAACTTTCTAATATACCTGCCATGTTATCTGACCTGGTGGTGAAATTTGTAACTACCTTCTGGCATCTGGGTTATTAATTCATTTCATAAAATACAACTTAGTTTAACTAGAATGCATTTTAAAAACAATATATTTGCAAGGGTAATAGCTATGACTACCACTGAGTAGATCTGGTCTAAACACTTTGAATTAATTAATTCCTTGAGAAGCAAATATAATAACTTATAAACCGATTAATTATTAACTGATTTAATAATTATTATATGCAAGTTTGGCAATGCACAAGTTATGTCTCAACATAAATAATTTATCAGTTTAAATGTTTGATTCGACTCAGATATATTTGACATATTTTTATTTAAAATTTTAATTTTGGTGTCACATAAAACAACCACATCCAAGGCCTTTTTTCTTTTTTGTCTGGGTTTCTAGTAAAACTAATGAAACCAATAAACTGATCAATTTCATCATAAAAGAGTAAAAATCTATAGATAATATCATAGGGAATAACAAGCTACATGCTTATGCAGGTCAAATGTTCAGTTTTGTATGGTTGTCAGGGTGACAATCCATGATGCTAACTGGCACAAACAGAAGTTACAACTTGACCCTTGCAAAACATTTCCTCGAAAATATATTCTTTTAAGTCATTTCATATCTTTTAAGTGATGTATAAAATATTTTGCAATGTGTGAAAATAATTTAAGTCCAACACTCTATGTATTATGGCTGATTCATTCCACGCAGGCGTTGTTTCCTAAACTATGCAATTCTCACTCCCCAGTCATGCAAAGATTTGGAAACAACACTTTCAATGGAATGATTCAGCACACAATGCATTGAGTCCAGAGCTTAAATCAACAACAAATCTTCATGACTTTCTTTTTTTTATTCACTTTTCATAACTTTCTTGTTAGCCAAGGACAACAATAATGAGGGATTTCTGTCTGTGATTCTCATATAGATACAGCTTTCATAAGAGTTGTAATATGTTACACAAATATCTGAAAGGTGTAATTCATCCAAACACTAAGTTATACAAAAGCAAAATATTGAACCATTGTCCTAAGCTATTAACTAGATCTAAGATTGGGGTTTATGTTGCATTGAAACATAATTCTAAAATCCTAGATATTGTAAATTGCACAATACATATAAAAATCTTAAAAATTATGTAAGACAATCATGTATTTCAAATGTGTACCTTGTTTTGTGATTTTCACACTACTTTTCAAGGAGATCAGTTCTTATTCTAGATTATGCAAATCTGATTTACAAATGGTAAAAATTGGTTGAAAATTTGTTCATATATTTGAAACCTATTAAGAGTGATCTAATAATGTTAGGTTCTATTTAAAATGTAACTCAAGAAGAAAATTCAACATTTGTACATGAGCCTAACTGAAAGTATTCTAAAGTGACAATTGAAACATACAAATTACTTCATTCCACTCTACTCCAAGACCATGTTTATCTTTGGATCAATGTTTTGTTGGTTTAAATGCTTATTGTGTAGCATTTCTCTTTTTAAACTCAATTAAACAAACTGCCAGTTTTTTGAAATGTTCTATTCATTTGATAATATACAGATTCCACTCCTGATTGTTTATTCTTTGGAATGACATTTATTTCCTTCCTGCTAACTTCATTTTAAAACTTCTTTTGTATATGTCATATAATACTTCATCATATAGTTTCAAACAGATTGAGGAATCTTGAGCATTCTGCCAAACTTGACCATTCCGCCCTTTAGTATTTACAAAGACTCTTTTTTGTAGTATATACCATCTATATTGCATTGTAGTAGCATTACCATTCTCTTAGAATTCTTAGAATTTGTCCCATATTATATATTCACATTCTGCATTGAGCATTTTTCATGTTCTTAATTTCAACTTATTTATTAATAACATTTCTTGGAACAAATCACAAGAATGTTTATCAACAGGTTTACTTGAAATATATTGCATCCAAAGCTAATTCAACTCTTCATTCCACATACATGTAATTGTGTAATTATCTTGTCTTATATACATATGCATAATTAATGAAAACAAATATGCTGAGGAAATGAAGGAAATATGAGCAAATCCAAATAAATGATGAGTTCAGACTGGTTCTCCAGGATCATGGGTTTAGGAGATATGTGAGACTTCTTACTTACCTCTTTGTAGAATTATTTCCAGCCGATTAGAGGTGCTTTGATATTTCGATGAAAGGACGGGGGGGGGGGAGGGGGAGATAAGGGATACTTGAGTATACAATGAATAATCATACTCTCCCATTTTTGTGATCTATAGAAAGATCAGTATTTTATGAAATGATCCTTACCAACTGATATTAAATAACACATTACTGCATTCAAATTAAATAACTGCATTATGTTAATATTGTTATTATAACACATCTTGTTGATTAATGTTGATTCTATTTAAATGTTTGTTTTTATATATTGATCATTTTTGTTTATTGTTGTTTTATTTCAAAGATCAAAGGAGCAAGACAGGTATACAGAGTGTGAAGTGTGATTAAATATCAATAAAATGTCATTTTTGTCATGCTTTTCAAGTCTTGAAGTTATCCAAGGAGAATGTTATTAGCATGGCCAGGATGACAACAAAATATTTTCATGATTTGAAAGAAATAATGCTTGGATTTTTTAAATTATGCAGTTTTTGAATCTTCACTAATACATGTAGTTGCTTTTATTCACATTATACTTAGAGTCTAAGAAATAGATGACAACGTGTATATTATCCTGTTATACCAGTACAGTGTATATTCATTCAGTTAAAAAAGGAAAACCGTGTTAAATCAAAACCATGCTCAGTCTATTAATTTTCTGATTGATCTAATGAAAAGAAAACATTTTTAATGTTGCGACATGTCCATGTTTTGTCTAGCTTTTCTGTGATTTTGTAAGTATATTCACATTTGTTGCTTTTCTAACAAATGAATCTAGTCTTCATTTTATATGCTTTGTTTGTTTATTAATATTCCACATTATAGTGTATATAATATATATGCAAAATTTACTATAACCCCTGAGGGATTTTTTCAAATGCAATTTGACAAATGGACAAATATGTGATTGATCATATTTGTACATTTTCCTGTAAATAGCCAGCATTCTTTATAATTGAATTTCTTTTTACTCCCACCAAGTATTTTGATAATATTTATTTTCCTTGAAAATATAACACTTTATTTTTATTTGTTTTATTTTAAAGGATCAACACTCAAGAAGAAAATACTAGTTATCACAGTGCTATTTATATTTGTCATTTTTATTGTTTCCCCTTGATTATTAACCTTTCAAAATATGAAGGAACAGACCTGATGAAACTTATAAAACTATTATTTGTGTCTTTAAAAATGTCACTTATCATCTATATCTTTAAATGTACCCTATATTTATAACAGTGCCACCTATTGTTGATTTACAGCTTGATGGACAGCTTGCAGAGTATGGAGACAGCAGGGAGCGGGTCAAACTATTTACATTTGACTATGCCTACTGGTCAGTCAGCCCAACAGACAGCCATTACGTCTCCCAACCTCAGGTACGTGGTTTTTCTCTGGGCAAATATCTTTTAGTGATATTTTGTGTAGTCAAATAGATCATGGGTTTTTCAATATTTCTCAGGCAAATTCATGATAATTATAATTATTTTACAATTTATTATATCTTTGAGAAAAAGGCATACGGTCTCAGTCAAAATCACAGCCCCAAGAAAATATGGGTAATAAGAAATTGCCTTATGTAAATGGATTGAAGATTATCTCATTCCTTGAGTCAGTGCTTTAGACTGATCACTCTCCTCACAGTAGGCAGCATATTTGAAAAGAACATTAAGACCAAAGGAATAGCAGCACAAAATGAATAACATATTATTCATGAATACATAAACAGTCATTATACTCAAAGCAATTACCCACTTCTTGTTATATTATCAATGATATTGAATAGGAACAAAAGTAAAAGGTACATTATCGGAACTTATTGATCACCTCTCAGAGAGCATAACCTAGAATGGAAAATATATTCAAGGTGGAACATAAGCTACTATATCTGGGAATTAAAATCCATGTACCAGAAGTACCACTTTCCATCGGTATTTCAATGTTATTATATCATTGAAAGGATCTTTCTCCAGATGAATACATCTGATCAGAGAATGTTTGTAAGATTCTAGATCCTATTGACACTATGTAATGCTCTATGTAGTAATAATTATAGTTTGAGATTAGCCAGACATGTCAATTATGTTTTCATTTCCTTGGTTTTATACTATTTTATAGTTGTCTGGTGGCTGCATGTAATATTTCATGCTTTTGGTTTTATTACTTATTATCATGATAATTATGGTTTGTGATTTTGTATATATAATTTGACTCATTTTGATATTGATTTTTAGTGATTGTACCATTATAATCCTATAAGGTTTAAGATAAATGCTAAGTTTGATAAGAGTTGAGGATCCAAGTAGGTGGGAAGTTGTCATTCAATAGTACATGTAATTAGTAATAAGGCCCATTCATGAAGATAATTCTTAGAGCTTGGAGATATATAAACAACAGAAAAACACAGCACTCTTGAACCAATGGTTAACGCTTTTCTTCAAATTTGGGATCTTGAAATCATATAATCCTTGAATTTATCCAAATTAAATTTACATGTATATTTATCCCAATGAAGAGTTTGGGAATCTACATTGTCCTTGGATATTTCGAGGAGTCCCAAAGATTTATCGAGATTATATTAACATTAAATTGGATTTTAAATGAAATTATTCACCTCCTCCACCATCTACACGTATAGGTTGGTTCAGATAAGGATGATATTTATTCAGACAATGTTTGAATTCAGGATATATTTCTGGAATCTGGGTCGTTCCCACAATGCTTCATTGCAAGGGAATAAAATTCTTTGAAAGTAGATGGGACAAATCTAAATGTCAGATTTGAGAAAAAGAAAGCGAGGAATAAAGTCCTGATACTTAAACGTTATTTAAACGTTATTGATGATTAAATGCTTAAAGGGTGACACATATCGTTTCGCAAATCGAACACTCGTTTCTGGTGTTGCTCATCGTTTAGTATAAAAGGCCTGATCCTGGGATAATACTGAGGGGTTCACAGCTCAAGGTCGTTGTGTCAACACCTCTCACTGTTACATAGCATTAGTATATTATAGATCGTCACACATTTATAAAAGGGAGATTTTCATTTTGACAAATCAATTTCACATCTATGGGTGAAGTTAGAGGATCCACTTTTTGTGTATAATAAGGAAAGATTGAGATCTAAATGAAACTAAGCAGTTCTTATACATGGATTTATATTTGCTGTTGTACATGCATTCATTGAACAATCACTCTCTCAATAATGTTTTCAGAATCATTATAAATGAATTACTTTATCTCTAAGATAATTTCAATAAACTGGATTTTACAAACTTATTTCTTAAAAATGGGCTGATCCAGTTGACTCCCCTGGAGCCACCATATTGTTTTTTTACGGGAAGTTTATCGGAACCCTTAAAGATTTATTGCAAGGTCCTCCAGTTATATGAGAGAAAAGTGAGAGATCAAGGATTTATTGCAGATTTATTAGTTTATTTATTATAGATCATTTGATTATAAACACTTAAATTCTTATCATTTATTGTTCAGAGTGTCAATGGTATATTACATAATTGGATATTTCTGTTTTTCTTTTAGCAATTTCTTCACTTTGGTCTTATTCATAAATAATAATATGAAAGGAGAGGGCTTCATGGTAGAGTTATAAATTCTGTGAAATATGCAGAGATTTGTCATTTTCAGATCACAAGAACGTGATACTATGTGCATTGATTTGAAATATTTTTTTACAAAATAGAATTCACAGAAAATAAACTTCAATGAAGGTTTGTATTTTATGAATTGTTAAACATATGAATAGAATGCTTTTTAGCACGTAGGTCCCTATAAAAAATTTGTTTATAATAAAAGTAAATATAGTTTCAAATTTTTGGCAGTTTTGATATAATATTGTGAGCATGCTTTGATGCAGCATACTGATATGTATAGATACACAACTCGTTGTCAGGAGACATTTGAAAAAATGAAGTTGATCAATTGTTGTTACGTTTTGTAAATGACCCAGAAGATACTTTTCTGTTGGTATATTCTTTTTATATACAGAGTCACTTGTTTTAGTGGCAGCTGTTGGAAGGTGCATATATTCCAAAAATTCAACTTATTTGTCAGTTCTTTCCTCATTCTACAGACCTACAATCTTTGATTTTCAAGTATCCAATAGGTCTAAAATTCAAAATGTTTTTAGCTGTTTTTAGTTCAGCTGAGTTTTCCATACCAGTAGTTGGCTTTGCATATTGTCTTTATTTTAGTTCTATCTATGCATTTTCTTTGACTGTGGCAACAATTGTAGCTATTAAATATAATTTGGTGCTGCTCCAGAGCCCTAAAGCTTGAAGATTTCAATTATGAAATTCTTATCAGACATCAAATTATTGAAGATAAAGTCATGATTACAGTTAAATTCTTTTTTTCTCAATTTACCAATGTATGAAGGGTATATAACTAATGTCATTCTTGAAACAGTCTTAGTAAATAGCATATTCTCCTAATTTCAGCTCTTGGTGATTTTACTCTTTTACTTTTTGTTGACATTTTTCTCTAATCTATAGAACCCAGAGTTCTTTGGCACTTTATTACTTTCATAAAAAGGTTTTTGAAGATTGAAGTACAAACACTTGTAAATGCGATTAAATCATACAAGTTTGTAACATATATTTAGTTCTTGCATTTAGATATTTTCAACTATTTTGACGGTTACAAAAGTAGTTCAGGGTTAAATAAGATTCAATGTCAGATTAACCACTAAAGTCAGTTACTTGTTCCGACTAATATTTCCTGATCATAAAAGTGAAAGTTTGTATTGCTTTGTATTTTGAATTAGATTATCCTTAAAGTACAGATTACTTTTTCATTCTTGCGTGTTTTAATTTACTAGTTGAATTGTTTGAAAGGATTATATGTTTAAGGTTTTGGGTGTTTGTAAATGGATCACAAATCCAATGTTACACTGTCTTTAAGAACTGCTGAGTACCTATCATTACCTTACTACATAGGTTAAACACTGTCATAATACATACCGTACCGATAAAAATAATAACACAATAATGATATGTATATTTATTGGAGAGGAAACGGTAAAGATCGCTAGAATAAAATCGAACTATATTGACAGTGATTGAAGAACTCCCCAGCAGAGCCCCTCGAGGTGAAGGAATTGTTTTCTGCGATTATCTTCAATATTTTCCTCATAGACTGTTAGATATCTATCTAAAAGTATGCCTTCTTTTTTTAATTTGATGACAGATCATCATTTTCCGTGTAAAAGTTGTGTAAAAGTCGAGGAATCTAAAAGAGAAACGAGAAAGTTCAAGACCTTGACATGACCTTGATGATTGCTATTTTGAAAAAATGTTGAAATTAAACCCTGAAACATGAACATTTCCTTCATTCATTGTGGACTATTTTGAGATAATATTAGTTTAGTATGATGTGGGAAGCACCCACTGATAGATATTTATCGGGAGGATGCATCGAATTACAAAATGCGTCATGTTTTCTGCATTTTAGTGTAAGTACTCTGTTATCGCCTACTATATTTCTTTAGAAATCTGATGTTTTTCCTGATATATTCGTTAATACTTGGTTATTCCTCGATATTTCTTGAGCTCTGTGAAGCGGGGTGGGCACTTATTAGGGGTGGGCCCTTAATATGGCGATTACGGTATTCTGATTAAAAGGGCTGAGGTAAAGCGTCTGACTCAGCTTCAGTGGTAATTTGCTTTTTTAAATAACTCCAAACCTTAGAAAATAAAGATATTATGAGAACAGAAGAATTAGATGTACCATTTAAGATGTTGCATGCTTGGTCAGATTATATCAGAATATGATTTCTTCTCTTATTTGATCAAAGCAGAATTACTGCATGTTACATGAAATTAGGAATATAGCATGATTTGACCATATGTTGCAAATCTTAAAAATCCTAAGCATTCTTGTACAAATTATCCAAAACATGCCTGATTAAATAGTGAATATAATAAGTATGGAAAAGTTATCATATTTAAGTAAAATGGAATTTTCCTTAAAATACACATGTTGTGCCAAATGCTTCTTTTTAAACAGAGATCTTGTCCAATGCAAAGGAGACACATTGAGGATGAGAATGATGGTATGAGTAACAATGAGATTTATCTTTATATTCAAAAAATGACTATCAATTGATTCCCTATGGGGCTTCAGTTAATGAATGTACATATGGTGGGAAATGAAACTCATTAAAATTAATAAAAATTAAGAATAGTTTAAGTACTGAAAACCTATTATAAGTTTGACATTTGAAACCAATGATCAGCTATTATCAGTGATAATAAAATTATTTTCAAATTATCTCAAAATGTTACAAATAGTACCCTAATTAACTCATTATACAATATCCTAGACGCCACTTAAATATGAACAATTAGTGATTAGACCCTCTT